TTATTGTGATTTCTCTTTTTTTTATTGATTCCAAGCGGAATTTTCATACTTTGATCGCCGTAGATGTGTGCATGCATGGAAAGTTGATTATATCAAAGATTCGGTTTTATTGGTGATTTGTACACTATTTACACCTTGTTAACCAAATTCTCAATTTGATCGCCCGGCTTTAAATGCTTACGCAACAATCGAAATGACTGAGTCGACGATTCCAATTCAAACTAAAAGCCGAAGAAAATCCAATCCGTTTGGAAACCCATTCCAAATGTGCAGACCAGTGATATGCCGAATCATTGCTCTGTCCGACCACTTGCATCGCCACCATGAACCCGTTTCACATTTGGCCGTGCGTCTCGAAAGCACTAATTGATGCAATTGGCCTGAAATCGGTTCCATTTATGTTTCATTGTCAATGGCCAGCCGAAAAATGTGTGTCAGACGGAATGGAACCCGAATTTGGTTGTGGCAATATCGCGCTACCGATCTCAATTGGTCTCAAAACAAGCTGTACATGCGGTGCCATTTGGAATCTCTTTTGTAACCGTTTTTCGGTGCGATCGTTTCATTGGCAAGCATTTCATTGTTCAAATGTGCCATTTTTCTTCCTGATTGGTTTTCATAATCGATCACCACTACCACCAACAACAACAACAGCAAAATTGCGATCACGACATTGCATTGGGTGCCATTAGGTTTGTAACCCAAACACCGATTTTACTGATGTTTACAATTAAAACTTGAACAATTGGATTAGCGTGTTAATGCGTGCGCGCGCGAGCGCATGCACACGTGTGCGGTGCGTGTATATTTGTACTATTCATCTCGTTCGGAACAATAATCGAATCGAATGGAGTTGATTGAAAAAGACAATAGTTACCTTGTTCAGATGTCAAAATCGATCGTTTTATTGCCAATCATTCATTTCAATTTGCCCGCAATATCGATAATTGCCAATATCATTTCACCATTCCGTGGTCTGGGAATGTGTTGTGAGTTGGTCGTCGAGTCCAGAAGCAGCACACCGCCGTGCACGGCTCATGGCTCACTTTCATTGATTCTCATTAATTGGACTACGGTGTGTGCATGCATGAATTTGATTCGATCGAATTTGTTTTTGTCGGGTGTAATTGCGAAATTGACGAATTTTTTTCTTACTTTTGATTCGATCGATTTGGATCGAAGGCGCTTACGGTAAGGAATAAGCGCAAGCACATACAAGTGCCTGGAGAAATTTAAATCTATTGAAGGACAGAAAAAGTGATATTTGAATTTGTGCCGAGTCAACAACGAAATGGAACAAAAATGGATTTGAAGAAGAAAAAAATGGGTGTTGCTTGTTGCGTAGCAAACATACGTGATTCTTTTTGCATGGATTTGGAAAGAGGAAAGTGCATAATTTTGTAATTGCGGGTTTGGGACAGCTGCGCGTGATTTGGCTTTTCTTCTCTTTTTTTCTGCACGCGCACACATCCCACTTTTCATCTCCCTCGTTTCGTTCGGTTGTGTTTGTTTTTTTAATTATCGTCTAGTCTCTCTTCAGATCATAACATCGAATCAAAAATTACGAAATTTCGGTCATTCGGTTCACATTTCTCTCTTTTTTTTCTTCTCCATCGCTGTTTTAACCGAAAAAAAAACGAAAAATAATTCGTATATTCATTGTTTATCTCAATTTCCTTTTCGTTTGACAAAAGTACAGAAAAGAAAACCAACAACCAGCAACAGCACATCGAAAAAGAAACACACAGCGACGGACTTGTTGAAGTCTCATATCGACTCGAAGTGGTTACGCATAACTGGGCTGTGTGAAAATCGGCAATGCAATGAGTGGCATAAACCAGCAATAACATACATCGTCACAGCTCGCAGAGGTTTCGCGCATGATATATGTGTAAAAAGACCTCAAAAACGGTGTAATTTATGGATGCATTGCATTGGCCAGACGTTGTGGTAACAAGGCATCGATCTCTTCTCGAAAACACACACACACACACACACACACACGGCAAACATTCCTTGCAACCGAGTGATTGTGTGTGCGCGAGCGAACCAGAGCAGCCAGATCGCATGTTTTGACTACGTATGCGCGCGCGCGCTCAACGAGAAAGGCTTCCCATTCATTTCACCAAGTATAACACACGTTGTCGAGAAATGTGCACGACAAAACATTATTATTGAAATCGGATCGAATCAAGTGTGGGTTTTTCGTACCTTTCCTCATTATACATTTCTGTTGTTGTTGCTGCCTGTTTTCAGAAACAATCGCTCCTTGTGGTCAATTTGTTATATGCATACATATCGGCCCGTTCGATCGGCAGCATATACTTAAATCATGGTGAATGTAGTCTCGATTACAGTACGAAATAACTGGAGCAATTAATTCATGAATCAGCATTTTTCCGCTTCGTAGAATAAAAATGACAGAATTCATTAGCGCAAATGCAATTCATTCTATTCTTACAGCCCGATTTTTCTTTCTCTCTTGAAAGAACTGCAAATCAATACACCGCCAACTAGCATTAAGCAGTTCTTGATTGTTGCAATTTCATTTCGTGTAGAATTGTAAATTCAATTTACTGGTTTCATTCTTTGGCGCATGATTGAAAGAAGAAAAAAAGGCAACAATTCGTACGAGAGGCGCACTCATTTGTGCAGAGAGAGAGAGAGAGGCCGGCGGTGTGGTGATGGTCCAAAACCGAGCCGATATACGCACAATTGATACCGTATATTGTTCGGGCTATTTTGCGTCACACTCACATTCGTTCGCCACAGACAAAGCCACCACAAATACATTCGATCGACACTCATAAGCCCATGCTTATACGACTCTCTTGGCTTATAAACAACAGCCGATTACAGTTAGGTCGGTTTTTTTTCATGCTCTTCTCTTTTCTTCTTCTCTTCGCTTGAGAAATGCACAACGCGCCACACAACGCGAATGAATGCGAACGCTGAAGAAAACAAACATAACGGTGGGGCCGTCAGTATGTGTATGCATGAACTGAGAATAAGAGAGACGCTCGCTTCGTTTCTCTGCTTTTTCTACTTGTTCTCTTCGATTGTTGGCTTTGTTGTCGTTGTTGTTGCTATTTCTGTACGCGCCACACTTATGTGTGCTATTCGGTCAATTTTGCACTTGATCGAAATTGTCTCGTTAAATAACCGTTGTTGTAGTAGTTTCAATGAATAATAAATGCAAAGCGGAAAAAAAACACACACACACACACCTCTCTCGTCGCGATCGCTATCTCACGAACCGTATGAGCTTATGAAGCGTTCATTTTCACGATTGAATCACATTTCAATTGAGAAATTTGACCGTTTTTTTTTTTCTGAGAGAATTCTTCTTTTTCAAGTGAATTCTACAAAATTTGAGGGTCTTTTTCAGTAAAAAAAAAAAAACATTTCTTTTGAATTCAGTCACTTTCCGATCAGAGAAAATTCGAAAAAGAGATTTTCAATCAACTCTTCGACTAAGTTGATAAAGTTTAATCAGTCTTCATCATTTAAAACTTAATTATTTTGCTAGACATATTCATGCGATTGATCAGTTTGAGTATATCCGAATTTTAAGTCGAAAACAGTCAAAATCAAGCCAAGTGATCTCTTCAACTGTTTAAATCGCATCATTAGAAGTTAAAGCAGCCCATAGATTGAAGTCAAATGGACCAGAATACATAATATGTTGAATGCTAGGGGCTAACCACGGATTTTTTATTGACAAAATCTGTTTTTATCGCCCAATTTTAATGACATCCGTAAAAAGTTGAAAAAATCTGTATATATTGAATTTTATCGTTTAATATCGACTATAAACGTTTAATGTGCTGATGTCATTACCGATTCAAAAATGATGGAAACGGGTTTTGGTGGATCATAAGGATCGTTTAGTACTGCTCCCGGTTCTGGAAGTGGATCCTCAGGATGGGCCAGGGCATTGTCAAACCCAGTCTGATCCATCCTGAAGATCCCCCAAAACCCGTTTCCAGAATCGGGAGCAGTTCTGAACGATCCTGTGGATGCACCAAAACCCGCTTCTAGAACAGTATGTATTCGTTAAAGCGAAACAATTACTGTAAAAATCGGGCAAAATCGACCAAAATGTGATCATATCGGAATTTATTTGTTTAAATGATAAAAAATGTTAAAGTCGGTCATTATTGGTTATTTTTAAAACCGTGGTTAGCCCCTAGGTTGAATGTTGAATAATCAACCTCTGTTAACTGAGTAACAAATGTAGAAGGTGGACACTGAGAAGAAGTTTAGGTATTGAAATCGAAGCTAAATCAATGCGTGAAACTGGCATAGTACATAAAAAATAAATTTATATAAATCAACGCATTATGATGACTAAACAAGAAGAAAAAAAGTAGTTTAATCAATAAAAAAAAAATGGTATCAAAATAGGTTTAGATTTGAGAAATTTGAAAAATTCATTTGGAAGTTTCAAATTGGAACTGAATTATCTTCAATTCGAAATGGTTCTTCTTGAGAACTTGAGAATCGAATTGATTCTAGTTTTCCATATCGAAATCATCTTTCTCTCTCTCTCTCTCTCTCTCTCTCTCTCTCTCTCTCAATCCGGTGCATCTTGATAACGAAAGAAAACCAAACTTCGAAGTTTCGACCACGTCGCAACGTTGACGTCGTGTTGAGATGCGAGTGTGTCCGCTAGCGTTGTTTCTTCTCTCTCGACTGAGAGTGTTCGACGGTATGTTTCGCATATTTTTTTGCACTCACAGTCCCACCACGCACGTGAATTTCTATCTGTATACACACCGTTCGATCGAACACACCACAGCTATGATGACGACAACAACAACAGTAACCAGCACTGTGCGCTGTGTACTGAATCCACCAGTTGAGAGAGAGATATACATGCGGTGTAGCATATATTGCATACACAAGCGCAACCCAACAACACAAAGTAGCAGAGCAGCCGCTTGGAACACAAGACCCCCCGCAAAAAAAATATATGAGAAAAATAATAATACCGAAAACACAAGCAAAGAGAAAGGTTTTATAAAGCCAAGCAAAAATACGATTCAATTTCAGTTTGGCGATAAACACGGGGTCGCGTAGTTGCACACGTTTGATCCAATAAATACACCATACCATTTAAGCGATTTTTGAGCGAGACAAAAACGAGCTCAGTATTAATTAGCAAGAGGAAAAAAAAAATCAAAATAGAATTGGAGCTTCAAAAAAATACCAGCACTGGATTTCGGCTCTCGTGAGATAATTCATCAGTTTTATTATCCCAGAACGAGGAAATATTCGAGCGCACCGATGTGGATTTTTAACGAACAAACCTGATCAAATCGACCAATTTTACCGTTACATTTCCACCCGAAAAACGTGTGTTGTGCGCGTTGGAAGTTTTCTTTGGCAGCTCAACGGTTCAATCAGAGACATTGAAAGGAGTGAAGGCACCGATACACTGACTTACCCAGTTTTGTGAACTTAAAAAGTGTGTAATTGAAGACCAAGTTTAATGTAGTTCAATTTGGATAAGAATCTCCTGTAAATTTGGTGCAGAACATTCAATAAATTGGTTGCTTATCAAGAATCTTCGTACAGAACATTCCAATGCGAACGATTCGAGTGGCCGATTTTTTAAACTGACGCAAAGAAGCAAAAAAGAAACTCAATCACAATTCAAGTGCAGCAAAAGTTGATCCAATCTTCGATTTATAAAACAACGGATTTATTGCAATTTTTTGTTTCTGTTTCGGTTTGATTACTTAATTTTTTTTTTTTCCGTTTGTTTGTTTGTATCAAATACGACAAGACAAAACAAGACAGCTTAAGAAAAGTACAACAGAAGAAGAAGAAGAGAAAAAAACAAACACATAGTAAACTATGGCTGTTAAGTGGAAACCAAGTGCCACCGCATTTTGTGTGCTTTGTTGTTTTTTAATAATTCTCTCAAATGCATTTGTGAATGGCGTACGAGTTCAATCGAAACGTGTTAAAGCAGCCGCTGCTAAAGGTAAGTGTTTGACATTCATCGTCAATCATTAACCGATCGAAATCATTACATCGAGAATCACCACCATTTCGCTATCGTTTCCAACTCAATCGATCGATTGCGATAGATGTAGAGAGGGCGAAAAAAATAGTCGCTCGTGTTGCCATGGCACATTGATCTGAATGAAATCGAAAGTTTTCAGCTGATCTCATAGCGGCCCAATAAAGCGGCGATCAGTTTGATTTGAAAATTCGATTTTTTTCCGTTTGAAACAAGACAATTGAAACTTTGAAAGAAAATTAATTTGAAATGATGTTTCGTTTTAAGAAAAAAAATCCAATAAGAAAAAAAAATGCGAAAGAATTCAACTTTTAAAGTAACAAATGAATCCAATCTAAAAAAAAACTCCATTGTCAAGAGTTTTTAAGGGAAAACTTGAAGAAGAAAAACGCGAAAAATTGAAAAATCCGAAGATTGAAGAGAAAAAGAGTCAAAAAGAGAAGAAGAAAAAAACACATCGTAAGAAAATCAGTATAAATTAATTTTGAGCGTTTGAAAAAAAAACTTGGGCGTATGAAACCGAATAAAAGACCAAATATTGATTCTCGGAAGCGTTTTTATTTGGATGCAGACTGAAAAATGTTGCGTGTAAAATCGTTTATTTCTTATTCTTGCGAAAGTTTCCGAAAATCTCAAGTGCAAAAATTTCAATTTTCAATGAAAATTTTGATTGAAACGAAACCTTGGTGTTTCGTATTCTACTTGTCAGAAAGTGCAAAACTGCATTCGAGTAATAAACTATAAAACGGTTTTTCTTTTCTTTGGCATTTTAACTCTTTTGAGCGATGAAAACACGGATGAAGAAGCAAAAAAACCGAAACGTTGTCCGAAAATTTTATGCATTTTCGTTTTTCTGTTGGCGAACAAATGAAACTAGCGAGTTTTATTGCAATGGCACTTCATTAGCCATTTGTAACTGTTTAAATCTCCAGCAAGTGAAATGCTTTTTTTTAATGATTGTTAGCAACACAAAAAAAAACGATTTTTGTTTCAGCGCATAAAATGATATGCACCAAAAGTGGGCACTCAAACAGTTATCCAATGCAAGTGGTTGAGCGTGTGCGCAAGATAATTGCCGAGGAAAACGATCTACCAAATAAACTACGAAAAAAAAACACACAATGATTTAATCTGTAAGTGCGAAAATGTGCGTATTAGATTAGAAAGTTGGTTGCAAGTGGCGAAAAATGTGTGCTTTTTTCCCGTTTGATCTTGAAGCAATAACAATTTTGTGAAAATAAACCGGTAAAAAAATAAAAAGAGTCGCGTTAACAAAATGAATGAAGCAAAAGAAGAAAGAAAGGAAAAACAATCAGCCGATAAACTGCACAACTGAGAATTTGTAATGAGCCGAAAGAGATGAGAGGAAAGCCACGGCATTTTTCGCTGTTTTTTTTTTCCCAGTTTCAGTTAAAGTGAAATATAATGATAGTTATTACTCGTGCAAGCGTTGTCACTCACACAGCACAGTATTGCACATGGAAATGAGACAGTGGACATTCGTCAGTCAGAGCTATGTGCGCTGCACTCTATGTTTCGTCTCTTCTTGTCGTCTGTCTGATGCACAAACAAAAGATTTAAGTGACGAACCTGTCTCTTTAAAATTACGTTCACATTTAATTGATGTACACGTTGCGCGACACACAGCGCGCGCACATCGCACACACGAAAATAACGACAGTAATAATAATGACGACGACGAAGAAGTGAATCTCACCAAGTGGATGGAATGTTCGCGTGTGTTTGTGGTTGTGTGTGACATAGTGGTTGCATTTAAAAACGGGTCCCTGCAGCCAATAACTGTGCTGTTTCGTTTCACTTTTCACCGTTCCATAATATCACTTTCGTTAATCAACCGATTGACTGCAGCGTGATGCATTCGCATCGTATATCGCACGTAATACGTTTCTAATTGTTTTGAATAAATTCGCTCGTCTCTGTCTCGCTCTAGGTTTCTGTTGTGTTTTTTTAACTTTTCCGTACACAATGTGTCAAGAGAAAGTATAGGAATTGGTCCCGAAATCTTTTTTCGCAAAATTGGTTTAGATCATCATAAAAACTCATGAAACGCGTAGAAAAACTTTTTGGGACACTTTTCCGTTCGTGTGCCGTCGGCGTCGTTGTCGTCGTCGTCGTTGTCGTCGTCGTCGTTGGTGTGTGTTAACACGATAACTCAAAAAATAATTTAGATAATCAAAATCTGGAAACGCCAAAAGTATTGTATCCGAAAAACTTAGTTTAAGTTCGAAGATGAGCCATTTTCGATTTGATCCTGGGGCACTTGTCCTAAGAAAAACCTCAAAAAATTGACACTTTTGTATGGGAGGTACCTGTAAATCGATTCCGATTGGCTTCAAACTTCCTGGGATTTCATTTTTTGGGAGAAAAATAGGATTCTGAAAGTTTGAAACCAATCGGAATCGATTTACGGGTACCTCCCATACAAAAAATCGCATTTGCAGAAGTTTGGTTTTTGGTCCTCAATTTTTTCCAAGAAAATTTCGACAAAAATTGAGGACAAAAAATCAAATTTCTGCAAATGCGATCAACATGAAACTCTCAGAATCTTATTTTTTCTCCAAAAAATGAAACCTCAGAAAGTTTGAAGGCAATAGGAATCGGTTTACGGGTACCTCTCATACAAAATTGTCGAAGTTTTAGTTAAAGTGACCGATTTTTCACTTCATTTTTATTACTATATTTTCGCTGCCTTTATTTCATGAAAATTCACAAATAATAACCAAAAGTACCTACAGACAACGCAGGCTTACGGTACGGAAAAGTTCGGGATTACCAATGTAATTCTTTTTATTTTTTTCCTTTTTTTATTGCGATTTGAACGACATTCGTTCTGTGGTTTCTAAATGCAAGCGAAAAAAGCAGAAAAAAAAACGGTTTAATGCGAGGCCACTGAAACTTCCATATACTTTTTTCTTGCTGTCCCGGTGAAAATTCCTCTCTCTCTCTCGTTCGCTTCCAATTACGACACTAATTGCATGCAAAGTGATAAAATGAAGGCGTTTTGATTTTTATCCAATTGCCCGGTTGATTACAACCGTTTGCGACGGAGAGATAAACAGAGAAAATGACAACCAAATCGATGGGCTTAATTTATGTGCATTGTTCGTTGCACCTTCGTCGTCGTCTTCTTCTTTCCTTTTTTTGTGCTGTTCGTGGAAATGCAGAAAACTATGAGCTGTGTACTTTGGATGATTGCAATGTGAATAAAAAGAGATTGCGATGCGTTTTGAATCGAATCTATATCGATTCGACATCGAGTGTCATCGGCATGGTGAATGGTCTGTGTGAACTGATCTAGGAAACTGATTCGCTATCATAAATCCATAATGCATAAAATGCAGAATTTTATTATTTTCGCACCAAAAACACAAGACTGAAGTGAATAAAAAAAAAACTCGGCGATTCGACGCGACGAAGGAAAGAAAAATGTGAAGAAAAAAACGAGAGGTAGAAAAAATCGAAAGCAATAATTTGTGGAGCGAAAAAAGAGGAAAACGAATGGAAAAAATGTGTGGTACTTTTTGTGTAAAAGACTCATACACACAATTTGCACCATAAAAAAAATCATCTTAAATGAAGAGAAAAAAAGCAAATTCGGTGAAAATGAGATAAATGATGGCGATGGCAAAAATATGAAAAAGCACAACGATAAGATCAATAGATATGAATCGTACGTGCACGTACATCACATGTGAATGATCTGTCGCTCTCGTTCAATTGACAAAGTCTGCACATTTCTTTTAGTTGCCGCCAACTTAATACCATGTCCAAGCCAGACAATCTGGCTGCTTCTCCATCGCTGCTTTTTTTTTTATTGAGAGCATCAAAATAAGACCGACACCATTTATCACACACATGATGAAAGTTTTTATTGTTCGTTTGCTTTGATTTTCGTCCAACGCCTGCCCGAAAATTGGTCAATAAATATTCAACTGTATCAATTTAACGACATCAAATCAATTAGATTTGCATCGTTTGGCAAATGTGACAATAAACACGTGGTTTTACATCCGATCACGCCGATTTCTTGGCCTCTGCATTTGCATTTATTTCGCTCGTTTGCGGTTTCCATGGTTTCACATCACAAATTGTCAACGGCATCCATTCAACTCTTTTTTTTTCAGCTGGAGTTGGTTTTTTTAATGGTTGATTTTCTTTTTTTCTCTGAGTTGAGCTGATTTTTTCTTTCATTCGACACTTCCCATTCAGCGTGAATGTATTTTGTGCAAATCATTTACGATAGCCAAACATTGTTAGCATGAAATCTTTTTTTTTTCTTCGGTAGCTGCGCAGTTGCGAGACGATTTTCTACATACCATCGATGGATAGAGTAGAAGAAAAAAATAATTAATACTTGACACAAAGCCCGATTGACAAATGAATGGGTGATAAATGTGCGTGTTTACAAATTTAATTAAAATCAAATGCATGTTTAGCTATCGGCGAAGCAGTGTGCTGTCTCATGCGTCCTTTTCAAAGTGTCAAGCCGGTTTTTTTCGCTGGTGCACACGCGTTTTCGTAAACACATATTGAAAACGGCACTTGCTCCGATTTTCATTCATGGGACTTTGATCAAAATTGACTCGATTGGTTGTGAAAAAAAAGTCAATCTTACGGCTTAGAAAATTGCATGAATCAATAATTTTCTGAAAATTACATGAATTCAAAACATGACGCCCAAGACTGACTTGTTTGATATTTTTGAAGTCATTTAGAGTCAATAAAATCGCTAAAAGTCAAGTGAATTACTCAAAGTCATAAAATTCAAACATTTTCAACAAAGTTTTAAACTAAACACAGGTAATTACAAGTGTTGATGGGCATTTATTGAACCGAGAACTTAAGGAAAGGAATAAAAAAAAATGCGGCTCAGAAGAAGGAGAAAAAAAATGCGGCGATCAATTTGAGATCTAGGTTGAACAAGTTGCAGCCATTTGGTA